TTTTTGTGGTTCTTGAGTCCCCCACGTTTTCAGCCACAGAGACATCAACTGGCTGAGGAATTGGCTGTGAAGACTGCGCGCTGGTTAGCTTAGTGAGAAGAATTTTTATTTCCTTTAACTCAGCTGATAGCCTCTCATTCGATTTTGTAAGTCTCGCGTTTTCTTGCTCTAGCTGTGCAATTCTATCATGCTCTGGCAGCTTACCTGTCATCACCTCTGCCACGCCGTTGCGCACTCGCTCAGCCCAGCGGCCTTTTGATGTAACTGCAGGCGTCCTCCCCGGGTGTGAAGCCGTGATCTCGAACTGAACGCCAGGCAGCTGGCCATTCGCATGCCACCCAGGCTGATCCCGACCCTGATCGTGACCTAGAGAACTCGAGCGCCCCCATGAATGGGAGCGGGCCTTGGGTCTAGAACCTCTTCTGGAACACGACCTCCCCCTAGAGTGGGGCCGCCTTTCCTGTTCTTGAGTAGTCTGGATGCTCTGGGTCCCATAAGCTGGAATAAGCTGCTTGTCATTGATGTCTGGACTCGATGTGATTGATGCGTCCCGGGCTTCTGCGGCTGCTCGCGATCTTTCCCAACGTCTGCGTATAACTATGTATGGCACTAAGAACCTGTTCTTGCACTCTTTGTCTGCCGTGGGATGGCGACCGTCACAAAGCCTGCATCTTGGATTGCACTGGTGCAGGCTATCTGGGTTCTTGATCTCGCAGCCTCTGCAGATGGTTTCAGCTGGGTTCGGACAGACGTCAGACCAATGTCCCAGCTTTCCACAGACGTAACAAATATCGATGTTCTTGCGGTAAAGGCAGCACTGCAAAAGTGAAGGTCTATATTTCACGAATCTGGGCACCTTGTATCCTTCGAACGCTATGATGATTGTCCCGGTGTCCTTGATTCTCTTGGCCTGCAGCGCGAGCGGGTTGTTCGCGTTCACAATCTTTCAGGTCAAAATGTCCGGAGTATCGCTTACGGGGATCCCGCGAATCACTCCTTTACAAGTATCGTGGGGTGCCGTGGCGTACGCGCTAAGCTCGAAAACTTTGCCTCCAATGTCGATTTTCTTGACCTTGAGGAATCTTGAAGCTCTGTCTTGGTCCGGAGTGCTTGCCACCATAATGTTCTGCTGCAAGTTGGAACAGATGATGTCCTGCATGGCCTCTTCCTCTTTGATGCCGGCCGCCAGTACTATCGCGTCTGCCATGGTTCCAGTGCTGATTCTCGAGATATTTAATCCTCCACGTGGTCGTAGCACAATTTTGCTGAAGTCCTTGGGTAGTGGCGGCATGCGTCCAGCTCGCACGATTGTATGCTTGGTATCATACCTACTACGACTGGCTCGAGCGTCTCCCGCAACGCCAGCCTCAGTCGAACCCTCGGCAGCAACAACGCTAACCGCGGCTTGCTCATTCCTTGAGCGTCTCGTTTCGGCTTCCTTCCAACCCATGTCTTCCGTGCAATCCTCTGGAGAGAAGTCCTCTCCATCTATTTGGTATTCCATTCTCAGTTGCAGGTTCCGGAACGCGCAGAGCGTTGAGTCGCGTTGGGGCTGGGTCGGCGCATCGGCGACAATCGCCTCCTTGGTTGTTAGGCTTAAATCCCCTGATGGTGTCGCCGTGTAAAAATGCCCCAAAAACGGTTTAAAACTCCACTCACCAGCACAAAGGTGGGATCTGCTGATTTCTTGCGAACTTAGGCACACGATGGGACTGAAAACTTGGCGACAAATTCGTGAATACCACAGGAAAGCATTCATGAAAGCAGGAGCCGATGTTCGCGCGTCCGCACTGGTCGGCACCTAGAGCGTCTCCCCTTCCTGTCAGATAGTGCCTAATGTACATGTCAATGGCTGCTAACGGGAAATGAGAGACAGGAGAATTCGGCTTTTACTTTCTTACGGCTTGCACTTCGTATCCACTTCCCACCTTTAACCACCTCGAGTTCATGGTTCTTCTAAAACTAAGAAGGTTACACCCAGCAAGTATAACGTAGGAACCCTTTTTTTTTGTCAGATATTGCTCAATGTACATGCCAATGGCTGCTGATGGGGAATGAGAGAAAGGAGCATTCGGCTTTTAGCTAACACGCACGCAGCAATTTTTTTTTATTGTTCAACAACGCACAGAAGAAATCTCCCACTGGCACCGCCTTGGAGGTCAAAATGTAACACTAGTTACACACTTCTACTACGCCTACGAGGGACAAATGGGTGCTGCTATAAGGAGCTTCGCCCCTAAAACGCGCGTGTTTCGTCCACCCCAGTGCTCTTTGAGCACTGAGCACACTGCGATAGACCTCGATTTGTGCAATTAGCGTGAAGCTTCCTGTACTTTATTCGCGCTTTTTTTTCTGTTAAGTTAGTCCACAACACGCGACGCACATAAAAATGAGAAAGTTTCACGTAGTGTAAACTGAGGCCACGACTGGTAGCGTGATCAATGAGCCAGCCAAAGGATTGCTACCTGTATGCGCGCTGCTGACCCGCAGGTCGCGGGTTCAATTCCCGGCTGCGGCTGCTGCATTTCCGATGGAGGCGGAAATGTTGTAGGCCCGTGTGCTCAGATTTGGGTGCACGTTAAAGAACCCCAGGTGGTCGAAATTTCCGGAGCCCTCCACTACGGCGTCTCTCATAATCATATGGTGGTTTTGGGACGTTAAACCCCACATATCAATCAACCTGTATGCGCGCAACTACGTGAATGAACACGTGCTGTCGCGGTGCACCTAGGCACGCCCTTGAGGTATACCAGTCCCTTGGCATGCATGTGCGTGTATGCGTCAATACTAGGCAGAGGTTCGAAACAACGCGAAGCCTTCCTGCTATTTTAACAAGCAGCTATTGACTATAGTAAACACGCCATAATGCAAGATAACTTGCTTGTGGGCAGGTGATTTCTAGAACGTTTGAGATAACTGGGCATGGAGTTGTAGAATAATTGTAGCACGACTTTCTTTAGGAATTATCCGAAGAGCTTCCAAAAAGCTCTCCGAATTTTATGGTACTAGGTTGTTTTTCTTCTCCGGACAACGCAAAAAATGGGCGAAGTTCAAACTTCGCCTTTAATATTTGAACGCGATAGCGATAACCTCTCTCTAATGCGTACTGTGTTCTAAATTTGTTGTGTTATAGAAGCTTTCACATCTAGATGCATTCTGAGAAATGTGCAGGATGACAGGCAATTGCGCGCGTGAAATCTTTTTGAACTTGCTATGCACCCACTATGTGGCCTTAGGAGAAAAAAGGGCAGTAACGTGTGTGCCTTTTGTAGTGGGTGGCCCGCTTTGTGAAGCCATGCGAATCATGTCATGGTGCTCAATCGCAATATACGCTTGTGCCACACATTCTTACTGCAATATTACTTGTTGCATTGGAAGCATGTTAAGCGTGTTTGCAGGGCATGCAATTTCTTTCCCTGCATTTCCATGCAGAGGAAGTTATTTTCATTGCATACCTCCAAGCAGACACGTGGCTCTGGGGCAGTACACCTGATTGTCATGCAAATGACCAGGGTTTGATCCTCAGTAAGACCACGGCCGGACTCGATGCTCCTTCCGCACGCTCGGAGAAGGAGTCGAGTCCGGCCGTGGTAAGACCCAGAATCGTTTGTTATTTATTTTATTGCATATTTCTTGATTTTTTGGTCACGCAGAAGAGGGTTATTTTTCAGTTACAACCAAGGACGCCTATACACCAATACGGACACCAACACCAGAATTTCCGCAAAACAGGCTACCCTAGCTGCCCTAGCTACCCTAGCTAAAGCAGTGAAAATGCTTGTGAACCTGCTTATTATTTGATCATCAGGCATAGCCCTTCTTTGTGCAGATGTGAGCATACAGTGAACCCACTTGATAATTGATTGATTTGTGGGGTTTAACGTCCCAAAACCACCGAACCCACTTGATAGGCTAACAGGTTTGGACTGTGGCCACTGACAGCACCAGAAACGCTTGAGCTTATATCTTGCACCTCTTGAGCATATACAAGAAAGCGCCAGCAAGTGATCTCTTTAATGTGAGGATATATTAGTCGGCCGTTAACCGATGAGGTAGTGTTTGATGTTTGGCCTGAATCCAGCAGCACAAATGTGGTTACACTTGCCACTGTAGCATTCCTGGAAGCCACTGGCCTGGATGCATGTTTTTAGAGTTGCCCCTGCGTAACATGATCTCGTTCTCTTCCCCCTACCTTACCATTGTCTATCATCACTCTTTAGCTCCTTTCAACCTTCCCCAGTGAAGAGAAGCAGGCCAGAGCAAACTGTAGCTCAGGCCAACCTCTCCCTCTTTTTGTAAATATATTCTCTCTGGCACTCCCTCTTTAGAGTAAACAAAGCACTAACTTCCCATATATCTCGACTGAGTAACTGAGACTCAAAATCTAAAAAGAATCACTGCCAACATAGCTTAGAAACACTGATTGGCGTGCTTGATTTTTCAAAGCGTGTTTTCACAGTTTATCTATGTCTAATGTCTTTTCATCTTATGCATATGTTTTAGTTCAGTAATAACGATGAATAAGGCAATGAACAGTTTTAAACCAAAATGTTGTGACAATCACCTTCGATGCGTAAGGGCCCTGTTCATAAACCAGGCACTGGTAATATATGTTTTTGGGTTTTACGCATCGTTTGCTGCAATCATTACATTACGCGGCAGAGAGGTGAACAGACACTTTTCTTGTTGATTTGGCGTAAAATTGTTTATGGCCCTATGAATACTTTTTATAAAAAAAAGGTATTGCAAACAGACTCCTACCTTGGGTTAACAAAACTTTTTTATCTATAAAATGAAATAACTTTAATCATGCAATAATTGGATCGTGTTAGTAGTTCTTGGCGATGCCACTTGGTACAAAAAAAGTGTTTACTGTCTCTGCTTCTGACTCTGAGGTTTCCCTTCTCTGACGTCTTAGTGCCTTTCTTTGAACTATGTACTAAATTAATCAACAAAGCAGTCCTAAACCATATGTAAGCCCTGCTCTCCTATATTTTCAGGTCAAAACTATTTCAAATTGGTTGTGGACGACCTGGATAGAAATCGTAACACCACTAACTGTACGAAACAATACAGGAAAGCAAGAGGCAATGAAAAGAGCTACAAAATCTATCGCAAGAAATGTGAAACGATTGATGAACCGTGAAAAAAGCGCCATTTGTCTCTTTCGTCATCAGTACGTAAATATTGTATTTGTAATCTTCAGTTATAGAATGCACAATAAATCACATACACACGAAAAAAATGGTCACATTGATAGAACGTCACAAGCTTATGACGTCGACGAATGCAGCAGGCAGTCCAAGATGAAACTGTTTACTCGGCTGAACTTCAGACTGGTAAACAAAACGTCAGATTACAGGAATGCGCACAGGCCTGCTGTATTATACCGGCAAACGGAGCGTCGGCCCTCGATCAACTGATCAGCGTTTAGACCCGTCTTCGTTTAGAAATAACGCCTCAAACTTTCCAGTCTTACAATTGGCACGGTCGTGCGATCTCAACAACACGCCTGAATGTTCGTGTCTCGCGCACAATCTTAACACAATCATCTACTACTCTCGTGAAGCTTCTCGAACATAACGCGCGTTCTGTGCTAAGTATTGCTGATAGTCTTAGTGAACGTAAACCAAGTGCAGCTAAACCGAAACAACAAACTTGCATGTTAGTATCACCTAAAGAACAAATTTCCAGGAAATAGTTGTTAAAATTTTGTGGCATTGACTTCACGAACGTATACTAGCCTACTCAGACGTCCGTTTCCCAGAAACGAGTGTTCAAAATAGAGTGCTCTTTCGAGAAGTCACGTGCAAAAATACCTTTGGAAAGCTTTTAGTCTACCGCTATTCAGTAGGGATTATGGTTCCTGGCTTCTTATGCGAAGGTCGCGTGTTTTATTCCGGCCGTGGTGGCCGCACTTCAAAAGAGGCCAAATGGTAGACACCCGCGTACTCTGCGATGTCAGTGCACAATGAAGAAACTTCAGATGGTTGAAATTGCTGGAGCCCTCCTCAAGGCCGTCTCTCATAATCATGTCTTCGGTTTCAGACGTGACACCTCAAATATTTTTACTTTTAAAAAATTGGCAGATCCCACGTACAGTGGGAATCGATGGTATGCGAAGCACGAAGGAGAAATGTTGATAGCCACTTTAAAATCAGCACATAGTTACGAGGGGGAGGTATATGATGCCGTAAATGACTTTCGCGTCATGACTATCATGTTTGGATGTGTAGATTACCTTCGTAATGTATTCACGTTACGTAATACCAAACTTAGTATATGGGGAGCTAGTGAAGTGGCCGTGAGCACGCTATGAGCATCGTATGTTGTCATGTTCTTACATGACACGCGTGTCAGTATTATCATGTTTGCACCAGTCATATACTTTTGTCATCTATTGACGTAACGTAACACCAAATTTGGTATATGTGGAGCTAGCAAAATGGCCGCGAGCGCATCGTGAAGGGCCCAATATGCTCCAGTGTAGCGTTGACGGGCTGGAACGCTGGGCACCATGACGCTACACGTTAGCAAAACGCGAACATTCTAATAGTTAGACGCCAGACGTGACCAACGTCCGTCGGCGCTGCCCGACGGTAACCGGCGCGAAATGTGACATGCTGCATTTTCGCGCCGATGCGTTACCCAGACAACACTGCGTCTCCATCTTTTCGTGACGGAGAGACGCCGGACGCCCTGAAACGCACATGCGTCAAAGCAACGCAGCGCGGCGCGCGCCTGCGTGTATGTGGCAGGACCGGCGTCAGGCGTGGCAACGGCGGTGTGACGCGACGAAATAAACGGCGGCAAGCATGCGCACCATGTCACGTCGAAATGTATTGGCGCCTCGACTGTAGCATGTAGTCCTGTTTTCACATGACACGCATCTCATGAATATGATGTTTGCACCAGTCATCATGCATCTCAGTGTGCATCTGTCCATCATGAGTGTGACATGTAGTCATGCTGTTACATGACACCCATGTCATGAATTATATCTTTGAATGTGTCATTTACCTATGACGTCTGTTCGCGTCGCGTAATACCGAATTTGGTACAAGTGAAGCCAGTGAAACGGCCGCGAGCGCATCATGAGCGTAGCATGTAGTCATGTTGTTACATGACAAGCATCTCATGTTCATAATCCTGCACCATTATCACAGCTTCGTCATCCACTCACATCCTGTAATACAAAATTTGGTATAAGTGAAGCTAGCGAAACGCACGCACGCGCATCATGAGCGTGGCACGCATTCATGTATGTTACTTGACACGCATGTCATGATTTTCATGTTAGTGTCCGTCGATTGTGTTCGCCATGCAGTCGTGCCATACCATACCAGTTTTGCAACATTCCATGTGAACGAAACCACCGCAAGAGCTGTAGGACCATGAAATGTAAATAATGACATTCATGACATACATATCATCATTTTCATGTTATGACTAGTCAATCATGTTTTCATACAGTCATGTTATGCCATACCAAGTCTGGTATCGATACCATTTTCGAAACGGCCCGGATCGAGAGCTAAAAGTCGTAGGCGGCTAGATAGATAGATAGATTGATAGATACGCTCAAAGTCGCCGAAGTTCGCTAAGAAATGCTTCGCATTTAAAAGTCTCTTTGAGCACCGAATTCATGACTTCTTTTAGGCGCACGCATGAGTAGACACTAAGAAAGATCCCGCAACTTACCGACCTGCCGGCCTAGGAAGACGTGTGAAACAAAGTTACACCATCTCCCACTAAAGGGAACCCTGTGTAGTACCTGCGAAGCAGCGCGTGCTAACACGGTGGCGTTGCCGCTAGTTCTCATCGCGGCGTTGCACAGGACAGAAACCCTGAGAGGCGGAACGAACGCAGTGATGAACCACTGTTTTGTACCGGAACATGTGATGTGCTGCTTATGAGTAATGGGAGACAGAAGACTTGGTTGCACACAGAGATACGAAGTCCGCTTCTCGTTAATGTACACGTGGCCAGTTGTTATTATTGAAAATAAATTGTACACGTGCCGAATTGTTAGAAGAAATCTCCACCAGCGGTATCTTGGATGTCAAGAATAAGTGCCCTCAGCCGTGGTGGTCTAGTGGCTAAGGTACTCGGCTGCTTACCCGCAGGTCGCGGAATCGAACACGGCTGTGGCGGCTGCATTTTTGATGGAGGCGAAAATTACAGCATACCCACGGAGTCAATGATGAGTGGGGTGAAGCTTCGGGGGGTTTTATCAGCAAGCCGTGAATTTTCCGTCCATTAGACTGTCCGTCCAAATGTGCGTCCATCCGCTCACTCAGTGGTGTCTGTCTGTACGTTCGTCTGCCGATTCTGAGGGAGTCATAGAGCTAGGTGGTCACGTACCAAGATAGAAATGCATGCACAGACCCACGGCTCAAAGAGCTTCGTCCCTCAATATTCGCTATCGGAGATGGCCACCAGGGTTCAGGGAGTTCGGATGTGCCTCGCATCAGCTCCGCGGAAAGTTGTTTGGTCTGGTGGAAATTGTGCAGTTACAGCAAACAACTCCTATAATCGCCTGCCTGAAGTTCTAGGGATCATCTAGACCACGACTTCAGAATTGTGAGTACGTTTTGGGAGATTTCACGGCTACTTTGGTGTCGACTGCGTCTCCGCCCAGCAAAGCCTAACGCTAGCGGTGAACAAACGCGGCGGCTCGGCGGTGGCCGACGCCCCCGGCGTTCGCTTCAGAGCCCCGTTGTGGAGACGCGACAGCAATGGAGGTGACCGTGGAGGGTGCTGAAATTACCCCTGAAGAATTCAGAACCGCTGACTGGATCACGAAAGTTGGAAAACATGTTAAAGACCTGCGTTACTCCGCTAGGGGTGACAGACAGGGACGCCAAGATGGCAACGCCTGGACAGAAAGTGGAGCCGAGCTCGGCGAAGACAGGAAGAAGACGGCGGCTGCGAACGCAGCATACAAAAAGCTGGGGCACAAGATCGCGGAGCACTCGATTGCGTTGTACCTACCGCGGTTGCCGGCGAACGACTACAAGATAATCATTCGTCCGAAGTGCGGGCTGGCGCTCACAAAAATTCCAAACACCAGGCTCAGTGAGGCGGTGCGCATGGCAGCGCAAATTCCGTGGGTTAAGGGACAAAAAAAAGGAAGTGTTCATTGTTAACGACAAGCAAGGCACCCTGATTTTCAGCACTCCAGACATAGACACTGTCTGGAAGGTGACGAGGATTAAGTCTATCAAGATTAAAGGCAAGAAATATGACGTCACGGCGTACCTCGCGCCGCACGAGGATAGCGGGCGGGGTGTGGTGTGCGGCATCGACCCGAGATTGTCAGTAGAGGAACTGACAGAGGCTTTCGGCAACTCAAGATCCCACCGATACTTGGTGTTAGGAAGCTGGGGAACTCAAGTTCAGCGGTCATCATCTTAAAAAATGAGACAGTGCCCAGGTGGATGTACTGTTACAGCGTACCGCTGAAGTGCGTGCTTTATAAGAAACGATACGAGGTGTGCTACCGATGTGGCCAGCTAGGACACAGATCGGACGTGGGTATCAGCGACCATGTTCGCTGCTGGGGATGCGGTATGACAGCTCCACCCGAGGACCATGCATGTGAGCCCAAGTGTAAGCTGTGCGGCAAAGGTCATCTGACAGCAGATCGGAAATGCAAGGAAGCTTTCAGGACCCTTTATACAATTAAGAAGAGACAGTGGGAGGCCTGGCAGCGAATGGAAGGAGAAGAGCGGAAGGCGAAAGACGCCGATCCACAAACGTGCAGAATGGAAGAAAGAGATCAAAGAACGGTCCAGGAGCCGGTCGAAGCATCGGAGAGGGTCAAGAGGAAGAGCAGGTTCCTTCCCAAGACTACCGGAAAGACAAGAAGGAGAGCTGCCACCAATGACTGGTCCAGTAAACGAGGGGACTTCCGTCAGTGCTGTCCTCAACAGTGGGAGACCCACGTCGCCGAACCGCAAGGTGGGTTGGGGAGATAGGGCCTCCCAGGATAAACGCGATGAAGAAATAATAACCATTAAGGAAGGGAATCGCATGCTTAAAGAGCAGCTAGCGATGATGGGTCGGCAAATAGAGGAGCTTCAACTAGCAATTAAGTCGTCTAACACAACACCGGTTTCCCTACCACGAATGCCACAGAATCAAAATATAAAAAGGCCGGAGGAGCAGAGCGCTACTCCGCCTCCAGCGAAAAAGAGGGCAAAAGAAGCGGAAAAGCCTGTAATAGATGAG